TTGTGCCATTCTTGATTGAGATCTGCATTACTTCTGGCTACAAGGCAAACGTTAGCATTAGAAGAATTTAAAGATAATACATACATATTCTTCTTTCGTTGGCCCGTTAAAGTGTCTTGTTATCTTTCGTGTTCACGATTTTGCATTCGTCTTTGAGAAATTCTACTTTGTATCCTTTGTCACAAAATTGACTTGTGCTTAGAAGATTGAACTTCAGTCCTTCAACATAAGAGACATCTTGAATGGTTATTCCCTTGTTGATGATGTCCCCTTTTCCACGAGTTTTGCCGCTATTTTCACCTCCAAAGATAACTTTGGGTCCGTCAAATTCCTTAAAGTTGCTCAACATTGTTTTGTCACCAGTCATATGTCTTGAGCATCCACTATCAATATACCATATGACCTGTTTTTCCTGCATCAAAGATTATGTGTTTTTAGGTACCCATTTAGTTTCGGGTCCTTGGGGGTTAGCAGTTAACTTTGGAACCCATATTAACCTAGAGTATCCACGACTCATCCTCGGTCCTTTATATCCATTTGAAGTGCGATAATCATAATGGATGCTGGCAAAGACTTTAGCATTATATTTCTTACGTTGATCTTCCTGAGGAAGATTTTCATAATGCTTGAGATGATTGGTTTGTTTACGTAGATGAATCATTTCAAATACTGCTCTTGGGAGAGGTTCTGGGTAATCAAACCAATCTTCTTCTGATGGCCCAGTCCATCCATTGCCATACCCAGATCTTTTGAAGGATCTTTCAGGTTGTCTGATTTGTCCGCTTCTTGAGATTCCTTGTGCAGGATTCTTTCGTGTGAATTTCGAACGATATTGCCTCTGGTTAACGTTCGTCTTTTTATTGGATTGAGTGTTCCAGTTAGCCTGACCCTTTTTATGGCGTAGATTCTGTTTATTGCCATTTGGTCCATTCCTTTTGACATAGATTTGTCTAGGATTGCCATTACTAGATTTCTTCTTTCCAGATTCCACAATTCGTTGTACAGCCATTGATTGTGGTGTTTCTACATTGTTAACTACCATCATAGGCTCAGACATCTGGGTGGGTCCTTGAACAAATGCGGCCTCGAAGCTTTCGTGTGAATATGCATTCGTGGGTTTGTTCAATTCGACTTGTGAAAAGGAGCTGGGATTAAAACCAATTCCAGTTCTTTCCCCGGGCAGTCTGGATTCATTCATCATTCTATCCATTAAGTTGGATGAATTATTGAATTTATCTAAAACTTCAAGCAATTCTTGCTCTCTCTTCTCTTTTGCTGTGCACAGCTCCTTTAGAGTGAGAACATCTTTCTCAAGCTGCTCCTTAGCAATGACTAGCACATTGTTCTCAATACGAACTTGCTTTAGTTCATTATAGCTAAGCATGAGCCGAGAGTTCTCCTCCTTGAGTTTGGAGTAAGTGTTATTTATCACATTGAACCTCCTTATCATTTCGGTGACAGATTCATTGGAGGTAAGACTTCTCACAGAACTCGACTCAGCTGAATAACAAGAGGATGAATGACTATTTACCTCGTCTTCATCTGCCATGAGACATAGTTCGTCTGACTCTTGACTGAATAGGCATAGCAGTCCTTTCTCCTCATCAGTGCTTTCGTCTTCTGAACTAGAGCTTGAGGAGCTACTTTCGGTTGCGACTGTGTCAGAAGTTTCGTTTACTACCATTGCCTTCATTCTTCCTTCCTTTCTGGAGTTTGATGATTCAGGTTTGTCGCTTCTTTTATATCTTTCTCCAGTCTCTTTTGAGGGACTTGTGGTAGCATTGTTATCTTGATGTTTGCTTACTATGGGATGCGGGCAGTTCGCCTTGAAGAGTCCTGGCTTTCGGCAATTATAGCACAATATCTGAGAGTCCATGGTTTCAGATTTTGAGGTTTGAGGGAACTTCTCATGCTTCTTTCGGTGGCTCGAACGTTGTGGATCTTGAAAGTTGTTCTTTCTCATGAATCTTTTCATTTTCCTGACAAATAGTGCATATTGTTCATCAGATAAAAAATCACAAGAGTTAGGTTTCGACCTGTTGGATGTTGATGCTGATTGATTTGCCACGAGAGCAATGTTTCTTGTTTCTGAATCTTCGGCATCTTTTGGTTCATGTTCGAACTCATAAGCTTTGAGATCACTGAAAATTTTGGCAGTGCTTGTTGTTTTCATATCTCGACTGTCCCTCATTGCAATGACCTTCATTTCCCATGATTTAGGTAGACCACGAAGGATCTTCAGATTCATTTCCTTCTCAGTGAGTTCTTTTCCAAGATCTGATAAATCGCCCATCAGTCTGGTGAATCTAAGTTCCATATCCATGATTGATTCATTTGGCAGCATTTTGAAATCTTCGAATTTTTTCATAGCTATTGTCAGCTTGTTGTCCTTTTCTTGCTCGTCTCCTTCTCCCAACCTCATTAGGACATTCCACACTTCCATAGCATTCTTGCATTTTCGGACTCTCGGAAACAGGGAATCATCCAGAGAGTTGTAGAGAATATTTCTTGCTACATTGTCCAGATTCGCTCTTGTTCTTTCTTCTGAGGAGTACTGATCTTTTGGTTTTGGTATCATTTGTGGGGCTCCTGCTCCCTGTGCGGCTGCTTGAGCATTCGCCATCATGATTGTGATTGGTCCGGTGGTTATGACGTCCCACATTTCGTCATGAATGGAGCATAGGAGAGCCTACATTCTTAACTTCCAGTCATCAAATTTAGCAAGACTAAATGCAAGTTGTTTGGAGCGATGAGCATGTTCCTTTTCCATTTTAAAAAAAAAAACGTGCAAAGAAATTATGCAAGATTTTCAAGAGATTTTTTGAATAGGGATCTACCAGGCAGTAAATGCAAAGCCTTTACCGATCAAGGTATTGGCTCTGATACCACTTGTTGGTCCCGATAGAATGAGATGAGAGTCTAGAGGGGGGGGGGGGGGGTGAATAGACTCTTTTCGTTAGAAGCCCTAAACGTCACCTTTCGGTGTCTTGGCGCAGCGGATAAGATAGATTTGTTTTAGATACTTTGCATGAGTTTGCGTAATTAGACAAACTTTCGGTAACTATAATAAAGGAATGATATGAGAGCAAAAAGAAAAGCGTAAGTAAAGAGATAGAGAGGACACGAGATTTTATAGTGGTTCAGCCAATGTTGCCTACTCCACTCTTCTTCCACAACTGTTGGAAGGATTGCACTATCACTCTTAGTACAAATACACAAAGACTTCCTTGATCACTAAGCCGGACAGCCTTCGTAGGTTTTTCAACTCCTCGAGTTTACTTCGCCTCTATCAACTTCTTCTCCTGAGTTGAGGTTGGTAGAAAATGATTTCTTGAACTCTCCAACGATGAGGTCTTGACTCTGAGATATGATTGCTTCAAATAAATGTCAAGACTTCCTTGAGGTGTAATACAAAAGAATCTTCAAGTAGCTTAGCACCTCAAAACTGGTTCACAAAAGCTTTTAGTAAATTGTAGACTTTTCAAGAGCTTTTGTAAGTGAGTAAGTTGAGTGATAATGAACCAGCACCTTCTTAGTTGATGAAGGTGAGTTTATATAGGTGATGAAAATCCATCCGTTGGAGGGAGATGAAATTTTCGAACCTTTCAACCAGTGGACAAGGACCGGGGAGCTTCATGCATTAAATGCTCCATTAATGAGGTTGTACCATGTAGCCGTTGAAGGTATGGAAAGCATTGGGGTTTTTTCCTTTAGCTCCAAGAGATGGTACATCTTCATTTAGTGCTTATTGAAAAGTGTGTCCCATAAGATGAAGTCCTTATTGTCCTAGGATGTTGTCAAATCAGACAGGTGAATCATTCTTCTCGTTGTTGAAGAGAAGTAATGCTTGATAAAGATCGTCTTTCACCAACACTGTCCTTTCGTGCTTGTTGACAACTCCTGCTTGATTCTTGTTGTTGTTCTTCATGTCTCGTGTCTTCTTTCACCTTGGAGACCCTAACATCTAGTCATAACTCATTTTCGTGTGTTTGTCTAGCTTAACACGAATTACAGAGGAGTTATGGCAACTTTCGTCTAGGACGAAAGCAGCGATTAAAAAAGCTAATGGTTAGGGGTTTACTTTTCTACAATACATTGGTATCATCAAAATCCTAATACAATGTTCCTAACACGGTTTAGAAATTATGAATCTACAATATAGATTTTATGAATTTACAGTATAGAAATTATGAATTCGAACCGTGCGCACCTTGCATGGTTCACACGGTAGCACAACATAACGTTTCGATACTATACTCGAGGGCATTTCACTTAAAAAGAAAAAAAAATAAAACAAACAAAACTTGTGACGTTTTTTGAAAAAAAAAAAAAATTGTTCAAATACAATTATTTTTTCCAATTGCAAAATATGATTATATAAATCCGAGTACTTATTTTTTATTTTGAAAAATACAAATCCAAATGATAACTTGGAAACAATTTTGAGTAGGAATTATATTGTCTTGCCTACAATATCTGATGAAATCAACAAGAACAAGAAACAATAATATTGGTAAAAATAGAGTTAAAGAATGTAAGATTTACATGGTTCGGCAATGTGCTTACACCCATGAGAGTAAAAAAAAAAAAATAATTAGTTCATAGCGATGGTGATCGTGGTGATACCTTAGCTTTGGGATATAATTAATGTATTTCTAGGACTCTAATCGTTGTACAATGGGTCTGCCCAAATTGTTTCACTCCTATTGGACAAACTTATATTCCTAATCCCTATATGAGACAAACTTAACAATATCTTCTCGAGCATGAATTGCGAAGCGGGATGAAGGAAATGATAAACAAATAATTCCATTACAGAAATCTTATGTAATTTGAGTAGATCAGCGCATGCTTTTATTGTAACTTTGTTGACAATATGTAACGTAACCTTGAATTAGTTGGAATTTGAATATAATGTTCAATAAAAGAAACAGTGCAATTTTGTAAAACAGATCGTGAGTACAGTAATGAAGAAAAGGAATTCAATTAATTAAATTGACGGAGAGGAAAAACTAAATTGAAGAAATGGTTTTCAAAAAAAAAAATGAAATTTGGAGAAATGAATTGAAGCTAGTTCAAAGCACCGCAGACTTTCCTAATGATCCCATTTTGACCCGTGAACGGCTGAATTTCAGACATTTTAATCATGGCTGATGCAAAATCTTCTTGAAATGCCCGAGAGCTCCTAGCGTACTCTGAAACAATACTGTCAGTTGCTCCACCGCTGAATAGAACTTGATCCGATTGAAGCAGACCTTTCTTTTGCAATAAGTTCTTATAGTAGTTGTTATCAAAGGAATTTGGGGTCACTAAATCAAGGGGTGCCAAATTCCCATTTCCGGTGTCCATTGGACATTTGCGTCTTCTAGTGCTAGCAAAACCGGAATCAATGTTAGTACGGTTGCCGTAAATTCTATCGCAAAATAGGAAGCATTGAGCTTGGCCGAGAGTGTGTGCACCAAACAAGGCAACCATGTATCTTGTGTTAAGGCCTTTGCTAGCGAAGCTGGATATAAGTGTATCCAAATTTGCGAAAGGGCTAGGGAGATCTATGTTACGACTAGCTGTGGTTGAATCTCTTCTTCCCAGCTTCACTGTCCAAGACGGACCTCCCGCAGCAACAGTGGCATCACGTGCAGCCACCGACAATACATCAGCACAAGATACAATACCAGGACAAGCTTTCTCTAGCTCGCGCTTGGCAGCCTCTATCACGTCGTAACCCCTGGCAGAGGCATGGTTTGGCAACGCCGTCTTTTCGCTCTTAATGGTTGGTGACTCGTCCAGTAAGATGGAAGCGTCGCAACCCTGAACAAAGCAGTCGTGGAAATGGAGACGAATCAAGGAAGCGGCCATACGACGCTCACGGGACACGGCTTGCCTTACGGCATCGCGAATGATGTTTAGAGCGTTAGGGCATGTGTTGTCGTAAAACGTAGGGGATAGCTGCTGCTGCTGCGCTTGGCATTGCGAGAAGGAGGAGAGCAGCAGTAGAAGCAAACACGATAAAGCTGTAGTGTATATATGAGAAGCCATATGTATATAGAGAAATGGCGCTGGGATTGTAGGTCTGATCTGAAATCAATGATTGGGTTGGTATAATTATTGAGAATGGGAAAGTGGAACGAAGTGTATATACTTGTTGCAGGGAGGCGGTGGCTGTTGTTAAATATATATACTCCTAATCAGATAAGGAATGATAAAAGGAATATTATATTATATTATATTATATTATTCACAATAATATAGAGAGGGGCTAGGGAGAATAAATATTAATTCTAGTGTGAATATATATGATTAATAATAACTAATGTTTAGAAATTAAAATTGATGAAAATCATGAACGGAACAATCAAGTCATATACTCTAGGGTCCTTTCCCTGTGATCAGGCCGGGTTCACTTCTTTTCCGTCAATTAGTCTTTTCCCGGCCTTTATATCATTTTTTCATCGACCATATATTCAATCTTATCTTTTTCGATTATTATATAATATATATTTTGACCTTTCGATTATTAAAAAATGTACTTTCTTCTATGGTCCGTACAGCACTGTGTGGACCATGGTCCACAGAATACTTTGTCCAAGTTTTATGTCGCTTGATAATTATAAAGCTATACCACTACTACAAAACACACTTACCACGGCGGTTATTTTTATAAATACACGGCGGTTCTTGAAGTGCCGTGTAAGTGACCGCCTTTGTAAATAAAAACTTTCTACGGCGGTTGCTAAACGCCGTCTAATATCACGATGTATGTCGTGTAATCTCAACAATTATATGTATAGACGGCGCTTTTCTTGAGGAACCGCCGTCTATTCATATGTATAGACAGCGGTACAATATAAGAACCGCCGTCATAGACGGTGGTTCAATGTAAAAACCGCCGTCAATACATATGAATAGACGGCGGTTCAATGTAAGAACCGCCGTCTATGCATATGTATTGACGGCGGTTGTCTTGAGGAACCGCCGTCTATGAATAAGTATAGACGGCGGTTATCTTGAGGAACCGCCCTCTATGCATATGTATAGACGGTGGTTGTCTTGAGGAACCGCCGTCTATACATATGTATAGACGGCGGTTGTCTTGAGGAACCGCCGTCTATACATATATTTTTCACCTAGGAATCGCCGTCTATACATATATTTTTCACCTTAAAAGAAAATAAAATAAAATTACATTATATATTCGATGGCTCCTGGGGTCGGGACCCTGTTCCGATGGTGCCATGGAATCAAACTTCACGTTGGTTCCCAAGTACCAAGCGCACCACAATCAGAGCTCCTGGGGTCGCTTAGTTCATCTCACTAACGTGTCACCTCACCAAGGTTCCGACACGTCTCGGTCGCTTAGTTCATCTCACTAACGTGTCACCTCACCAAGGTTCCGACACGTCTCGCAGCGCTTCTCGGGACCCTGTTCCGATGGTGCCATGGAATCAAACTTCCCGTTGGTTCCCAAGTACCAAGCGCACCACAATCCAAGCTCCTGGGGTCGCTTAGTTCATCTCACTAACATGTCACCTCACCAAGGTTCAGGCACGTCTCGCAGCGCTTCTCGGGACCCTGTTCCGATGGTGCCATGGAATCAAACTTCCCGTTGGTTCCCAAGTACCAAGCGCACCACAATCCGAGTTTTGCTCAGGGTTCAGGGCGGCTCAGAGCCCCAAGCCCAAGGTGCAATGTAAGGCCAAGGATCATTTTTATTTATCAACAATATTCCAACCCACGCTTGGGATGGGAATCGATCCCTAGCCTGCCTTTTTGAAAGTCCATACTGGATACCATCAGACCACAAGGGAGATAGTTAATTATGCTATGTAGGAACATAATATATGTGCACATGTATATAATTAGAAAATACTAGGTTTTCTTGGATTAAGAAACTATTAAGCTTAATGAATAATATTGATTTACGAAAATTTAATAAAATTAGTCGTATGCACATACGGTCCTCGTACAATGCCCAAAAAATATGGAGTATCACACCTTTACACGGCGACCGCCGTCTATTAAGTGACGTAAACATATATTAGAAGGCGGTTATTTAAGAACCGCCGTTTATTAAATGACGTAAATATATATTAGAAGGCGGTTATTTAAAACCTCCGTCTATTAAGTGACGTAAATATATATTAGAAGGCGGTTATTTACAACCGCCGTCTATTAAGTGACGTAAATATAAATTAGACGGCGGTTATTTAAGAACCGCCGTCTATTAAGTGACGTAAATATATATTAAAAGGCGGTTATTTAAGAACCACCATCTATTAAGTGGCGTAAATATATATTAGAAGGCGGTTATTTAAAACCGTCGTCTATTAAGTGACGTAAATATATATTAGAAGGCGGTTATTTATAACCGCCATCTATTAAGTGACGTAAATATAAATTAGACGGCGGTTATTTAAGAACCACCGTCTATTAATTGACATAAATATATATTAGACGGCGGTTATTTAAAACCGCCGTCTATTAAGTGGCGTAAATATATATTAGAAGGCGATTAATTAAAACCGCCGTCTATTAAGTGACGTAAATATATATTAGAAGGCGGTTATTTACAACCGTCGTCTATTAAGTAACGTAAATATATATTAGACGGCGGTTATTTAAGAACCGCCGTCTATTAATTGACGTAAATATATATTAGACGGCGGTTATTTAAAACCGCAGTCTATTAAGTGGCGTAAATATATATTAGAAGGCGGTTATTTAAAACCGCCGTCTATTAAGTGACGTAAATATATATATTAGAAGGCGATTATTTAACAACCGCCGTCTATTAAGTGACGCCGTATATAATAGACGGCGGTTATTTAAAGACCGCCGTCTTTTAAGTGTCGTAGTATATAATAGAAGGCGGTTATTTAAAGACCGCCGTCTATTATGTGCCGTAGTATATAATAGAAGACGGTTATTTAGAAAACCGACGTCTATTATGTGTCGTAGTATAACAAAATATAATAGAAGGCGGTTATTTAAAAAACCGCCTTCTATTAACCGACGTAGTATATCATTTCTGTAGTAGTGTATATTCAAGATGAACACAGTTCTATATTCATAATTAATGAACTATATGTTCATAATTATAAAGCTATATATTCATAAATTTTGAACTTCATATTCACAATTATTGAATCTCTATATTCATATATTTACAGAACTATATGTTCATAATTGTGTTCACAACTCTATGTTCATAATCATACACCTATAAGTTCATCATTTTTGAACTATATATTCGTAGTTATGAACAGTTTTGGAACTGTGTCCACCTTGCAAGGTGGACACGGTTCCACAGCATAATTTGCCATTTATGAATGTGTATATTATTAAGTTTATTTCATTAATTTCGCTGAAAAATATTTTAATCAGTGGCAGTGATCATTTAGAAAAAATCTTCTTGGAATGCCCGAGAGCTCCTGGCGTACTCTGAAACAATACTGTCAGTTGCTCCGCCGCTGAATAGAACTTGATCCGATTGAAGCAGACCTATATGTTCATCATTTTTGAACTATATATTCATAGTTATGAACAGTTTTGGAACTGTGTATATTATTAAGTTTATTTCATTAATTTCGCTGAAAAATATTTTAATCAGTGACAGTGATCGTTTAGAAAAAATTTGTTAAAATACTCCACTAATGGATTTAAGTCTTCATACATTCCAAATAATTGGATTGTATGATCAAAAAAAAATTTTAATTTTGAAAATTAGTTAATTAATTAGGTCCATTATTTTGGAAATTTTGGTATGTCAGCTAGTGATGATGGTATCGAATGCATTCATTGTTTTATTAGATTTTAAAAAATTCAAGAAAAAGAAATAGATTTAGATGCGCGAAACGCGCACGTGTCTTACTTTTCCTTCATTTTTCTCTCTCTAATGGGGCCCAAAATGTGTCCTGACATATGACTGCAAATGGTTGAACACATGATCGTTAAGAACATTTGAGGCGCAAAGAGTTGATATCTCGTTTGATGTCTTCACGATTGCATTTCGCTCCTTGCAAAAATTGGCCATCTACGATGTTGTTTCCTCACTTTCACTCATTCATCTTTGATCTTTGATTTGTATATGCTCAAGAAAATTTTTATAATTGGAAATTAGTTAATTAATTTGGTGATTTTGGTATGTCGGCTAGTGGTGATAGTTTTGGATGCATTCATTGTTTTGTTAGATTTAAAAAAATTCTAGAAAAAATAGAACTAGATTTACTCGTCCCGTATATGCGTGAAACGCACATGTGTCTTGCTTTTTCTTCGTTTTTCTCTCTCTAACGGGATTGAGACGATCTCACAAAAGTGTTTGCATTCCTTATGAAATAGAATTTATATTCATCTAAATTTTGTTTCCTCAATCAAGCATGTCCAAAAGGAATAGCATAATTTATCAAGATAATCCTAAGAATATAATAGTTATTTTCCATACAATAACAATAACTCATCTAGTTATCTCTTTGGATACTATAGGCAAATTATGCCGTGCAACCGTGTGCACCGTGCATGGTGCATACTGTTGCAAAACGACGCCGTTCCAAATTTAAAAAAAAAAAAAATCCATTTTTCATTGCCGTTAACGGCGTTAGGCGATTTCCATTCGCATTCAAACATTCTTTTCTCCCTTTGCAATCACACAGTTTAGAAATTATGAATCTACCATACTTAAATAATGAATCTACAGTGTAGAAATTATGAATCTACAGTATTTGATTTGTGAACATGTGATAGAGCTATATGTTCATAAATTTATAAATATATGTTCATGATTACAGAGCTATATGTTCATAATTTTCGATGCTCATATTCCCAATTGTTGAACTCTGTATTCACAACTCACAGAATTATATGTTTCATAATTTGTTAACTATACAGTTTAGATATTATGAATCTACAGTACATAAAATATGAATCTGCAGTATAGAAATTGTGAATCTTCTATATAGAAGTTATGAATTTCTTGTGTTTAAATTATGAATCTACGGTTTAAAAATTATGAACCTACAATATAGATTTTATGAATTTACAGTATAGAAATTATGAATCTACAGTATAGAAATTATGATTGGAACCGTGCGCACCTTGCATGGTGTACACGGCTACACAGCATAACGTTCCGATAGCGCATTTCACTTAATAAAAAAAAACTTGTGACGTTTTTTAAAAAAAAAAAAACAAATAATTTGTTCAAATACAATTATTTTTCAAATTGCAAAATATGATTTTATAAATTCGAGTACTTATTATTATTATTTTTTTGTAAAATACAAATCCAAATGATAACTTGGAAACAATTTTGTGTATGAATTATATTGTCTTGCCTACAAAATCTGATGAAATCAACAAGAACCAAAAACAATAATATTGGTAAAAATAGAGGTAAAGAATGTAAGATTTACATGGTTCGGCAATGTTCTTACACCCACGAGAGTTAAAAAAAAAAAAATTAGTTCATAGCGATTGTGATCGTGGTGATACCTTAGCTTTGGGATATAATTAATGTATTTCTAGGCATCTAATCATTGTATAATGGTCTACCCAAACTGTTTCACTCCTATTAGACAAACTCATATTCCTAATCCTTATATGAGACAAACTTAACAATATCTTCTCGAGCATGAATTGCGAAGCGCGGGATGAAGGGTTGAGATTAATAAGAACAAGAAAAATAATAATGGCAGTAAAGGATAAAGAAGACAAGATTTACGTGGTTCGGCAATGTGCCTACATCCACGAGAGTGAATGTATTTCTCTTATTATTTGTGATGGTGATACAGGTGATGAGATACATTGATTATATTTTATAGGCATATAATCTCCCTTTCACTCCTATTCCTTATATGAGACAAACTCATATTCCTAATCCTTATATGAGACAAACACAACAAATCTCCACCTTGGCGAATATGCTCTCTCTAAGAGAAAAGATAACTCAACAAATCTCCACCTTGGCGAATAAGCCCTTCAGGAGAAAATACTTATCTAACCATCTCCACCTTCGCAAATAAGCCCTTTAGGAGAAAAAACTCATCTCATAGTCTCTCCTGGATTAGGACCACCATGTTCATTTAACATCTGGAAACACCCAACAAGTCCAAACAATGTTTGAACTTGTCACTAGTAACTGCCTTTGTCAACATGTCTGCTGCATTCTCACTTGTATGAATTTTCTGCAACAAAATCTCACCAGAAGCAACAAACTCTC